AGGGTCAACGCCGCGGAGAAGTTCTCCGATCCGTATGAGTCAGTGAACTGACCATGTGCTAGACCCGCTGCCTTTCGGGTGTTCATTAAATTGAAGGATTTGGCTAAGGACTCAAATCGTTTGCCTGTCAGTAGTGAGCGTCCTCGCAATATCCTAGTCCATCTTCCTCTGAGGTTAGGAAGTGGTCGATGGCCCACTGCCCGTAAGACCTAGCCTTGGGAGACTACAGGTCTGCGGTTAAAAGCTCACAGCTCGATTGGCGTAGAGCACGAGCACCACGCATTTTCCCTGACGGTGGGAGTACACCTCCGGGTGTTCAATGGTTTGCTACTGCCCGCCTCAAGCCAGGCAGTCCCCGGTCAATTTGGTGCCAATCCGCCAAAACACACCTGCGTCTGGCCGTGGTCGAAAGTGTGTATCCTACTACGGTCGCAAAACATATATAAAACGTTCCAGAACCTCCAAGACTGCGTGTGACGGCCGTCAAGCAGATCCCAATCTGTATCTGCAATCACACTCCCGAGCTGGACCTGCTCCCCACTGCCTTGTGGGTCAGGCTATTGAGCCAAAGGCTCCGGGTGGAGTCCCTCAAGCAAACCTCCGAAGCACAACGACAACTTCGCGTGCGAGTGTCCAGCAATGCAATTGTATGCCTGCTCGCAAAGCACTCAGCATCGGGTGCTGGAACGTGCACACGCTGCTGGAGCGGAACTCCAGCGAGCGCCCGGAGCGACGCACTGCACTGGTCGCGATGGAGCTGGCGCGCTACAACATCCACATTGCAGCGCCCAGTGAAACCTGGCTCGCTGAGCAAGGTTAGTCGCATGAAGCAGGTGCTGGCTACACATTCTACTAGGTGGGCAACGCCGCCTCAGCACCACGTGATCATGGGGTCGGATTTGCAATATCCGATCGCCTTTATGGCCAGCTTGTGGGTAAACCGACGGGAATCAGCGCGCGACTGATGACTGTTCGCCTACGACACGGAAGAGTTAAGTTAGCTACTTTTATAAGCACGTACGGTCCGACCATGTGTTATTCTGAAGACACGCGTGATCAGTTCTACACTGAGCTATCCTACGTGCTACGGTTTGTGCCGAGAAGCGGCGGACTATTTCTGCTGGGTGATTTCAACGCGCGCGTTGGGCGTGATACATCAGCGTGGACAGATGCTATCGTTGCGCGTGGCATTGGCTCAGCGAATGCGAACGGGGACAGGCTGTTCTTACTGTGTGCCACTCACGGCCTGTCGATCACAAACACTCGGCTTGCACTGAGTGCGAGTGATATAGCAACTGGGACGGACCCACGGAGTGGTCACGCTCACCTGCTCGACTATGTCATCGTACGCCAGCGTGACGTGCGTGAAGTGCGCATGACAGGTGTACTGCGTGGAGCTGAGTGTGGCACTGATCACAAATTGATGAGGACCAAACTGTACATATATTTTCGTAAAACTGTGTATTGCCCTCCCGCCAAGAATCGGCGTAAATTCAACATTCCTCGCTCTGTACCGTAGCGAAACGTACTGAGCTAGAGAAGGCGATGGCTGCGCGCCTGTGTGATGTGGAATGCATAGCCACAGTGGGCGACTTGTGACACCACATTCGCGACCAGGTGCCAGCTGCAGCCGAGGAGACCCTCGGGCGCGCAAACTGTAAGCGTCCTGCTTGGTTTGATGAGAACAATGCGACGATGGCCGCATTGGTGTCTGAGAAGAATGCAGCGTTTGCTGCACATGTTGCAGACCCTAGTGACTTGGGAAGGAGTAGTCAGTTTCGCAAACTTTGACGGCGACTGATTCGCTAGCTCCGTAGCAGTAAAGTGCCTGGTGGACAAAGAAGGCGAAGCAGGTGGAATGCTATGCCGAACGCCGCCAACTCAAGGAATGCTTTCACTCCTTGGAGGCGGTGTATGGACTGAGCTTGGAGCCGCTGAGGGCACTGCTAGATGCTAGTTCGGGCGCTACCTGCACACAGACGGCAGACATAATGCAGACCTGGCGGAAACAGCTTTGACTGTCTCTTGAACAACCGTTCAGAGATCGACTGGCCTACATGGAACTGCTTAAAGCGGCTCGATGTGAAGGCGAACCTGGCGGACACGCCGACACTGGATGAGACGCAGAGAGCACTTGCTAAGTTGCGAAAAGGCAAGTGTGCTGGGGCCGACGGGATCCAGCCTGAAGTATTGAAACACGACGGACCCGCGTTGTTGACTGCACCACTACATTATTTGGTGCAACGAGTATGGATTAAGCCGAAGGTGCCTCCTGTGCTGAAGGATACCCTTGTGCTACCACTGAACAAGGGCAAAAGTAGCAAGCAATGTTGCACGAATTATCGTGACATCAACTTGCTGAGATGTGTGGGCAGGGTTACTGCCCGAATCCTGCTCAACCGCATCGTCAGTCAGGTTGTGGAACCTAACGTGGCGGAAGGGCAGTGCGGATTCCGTTCGGGTCGCTGCACTACAGATATGGCGTTTGCTGCTCGTCAGTTGCAAGACAAGTGCAGAGAACAACGGTAGCCATTGTGCTCGCTTTTTGTTAATTTTACCAAGGCGTTTGATACGGTGTACCGCGAGACATTGTGGTTGGTGTTAGGTAAGTTTGTAAGTTTAATTGAATGTCTGCGCAGTGGTATACGGGCGAGGGTGCAGCTGAGTGGATAGACCTCGGATGACATTGCAGTTGTCTCTGGTGTGAAGCAAGACTGTGTCTTAGCTCCTGCCCTGTTTAATATAAATCTTCATGCAATGTTGTTTTTGCTTTTGATGCCGTTTGTGTTTACGGTGTTCGTGTGGAGCATCGTATTGATGGTGGGTTGCTGAACATTCGTCGTTTTGGTGCGAGAACTAGGCTGTGAGCCAACTATCCGTATGTTGCCGCTTGCTGACGACTGTGCGTTTTTTCCCACAGCGCGGATGAGCTGCAGCACATGACTAGTGCTCTAGCTTTGACAGCGGCAAAATTCGGGCTTACCGTCAACACAGGCAAAATTGTCTGCATCTTTCAGCCTTCTACGTTGGTGCAACCTTCAATATCGCCGCGAATCTGCATTGGTGCTGGAGGGTTGGAAACCACCTACTGCTTCTTCTACCTAAGAGGCGTGATTTCGACTGATCAGGAGCTACACGTTGAGCTGCGCATCCGCGGGTCGAAGGCAGCGGCGGCTTTCAGGAAGCTTGAGTACCGGGTGTGGAACTACCATCAGCTTACCATTGGCACAAAGCTGATGGTTTACAAATCCATGGTGCTGTCCGTTCTTCTATACGGAACTGAAACGTGGACGATGTACCGGCGGGAGGTGCGATATCTCGAGCGGTTCCATCAGCAGTGTCTGCGACGAATTTTGCGCGTCGGCTTGGGCGACAGAGTTGCAGACACGGAGTTGTTGCACCGAAGTGGGATGTATGCAGTGAGCTGCATAATTACATTGAGACACCTGAGGTGAATCGATCATGTGAGCCGTATGGATTCGACGCGGATACCAAAACAGCTATTATGTGGTCAGCTGTGTATTGGGAAGCGGCAGTGTGGAAACCAAAGTTACGTTACCAAGACTTGATTAAAGTGAGCCTCCTACTTGCTAATCTTGATTGCAGATCATGGGAATCGAAGGCGGTTGATCAACGTGCATGCTGCGATCTGATCACGAAGACAGTTGCCGAGGTGCAGAAGAAAGCCCTCATGCATGCAGAGAAGAAGCGGCACGTGCGGAAGCGGCAAGCACCGATGTGCTGTTCTCCATCGACATCAAGCGCATGGTGCTGTAGCACATGTGGTCGCGAGTGCCTTGGTCGGGCAGGCTCAGTGGGCCATGAGCGAGGCCAGTCGGTACTATTACCGAAGCGACGACGGGTTCTGCACAGAACGTAGGCAGAACCGGCGCGGCGTTTGTAGGTACGGTACATTTGATTTACTGACCGTGTGCTTGCATGCTTTGTCTCTTTATTTTAGGTGATGGGTTTTCAATTTTGCCTTAATGCTTTTCTTTCTCAAATAAATGTCTACATGTACTCTACTCCACTAAATTGCACAACTCGCTTAAGCCAATTGTATCCGATTTTCAGAACCTATTTGTGTTCGTGGCATTTCCGTAAAGTACACCTCCTGACCTTGTGAACCTATTTAGGATTCGTCTGTAAACAACTTAGTTCAAATGCTCATTAACGTTTAAAGGGTCGCCTGTACCGGGAGCCCAGAGAGCGATTCGAAAAGGCGGATCGAGTTGTAGGGAAACTTTTACTGGTAGAGTAAAAGATTCCCTGTTATCTAGCTATAAAGGAACGACACCGTGGACGCTCTAGCTAGGGGAATGGAGCATGCACAGCACACAGGTCAGTCGCGAGCTGCAACCGGAACGAGCGCCAAGCAAAAATGGCGATGAGCAAGTCAAGCATTCGAACTCAGCAATCAGTTCAACAAACCACGCCGGTTGCCTAAGTTTACAATGAACTAATTTTAGTTAGAATTTAACACAGGCAAACCGGAGAATCTCCAGACTGCTACATAGCCCTCTCCAAAAACGGACTGTGTAAGCAGTCCTTCGATCTACGTGAGGACGGTCGTCGCGGGCCAGTCTTCTGCAAGACCACCTTGTGAAACCTGCTGCAGCTGCTGGGGGAGAACCATGCAATCGGACCCTTGCGGGCTCCCACCAGTGTCTTCCCTACGGTGTCGAAACGGTAAAAGAAACTGTTTTTGGGGGACAGTTAGTAAAGTGCACGTAGGCGGTTGAGCAGGATGTTCGTTCCCCTTCCAGTTGCCGTGCGGAGATCCAGCGAAATGTGAAACCTAGGTGTATTTAAACAGAAGCGTATATGGAAAGCAAAATGAAAAACAGCATAAATGCATAGCAATACACAAAAGAGTGCAAAGCGAAAACCGTGCAAAACTGTCCTGGGTTTTCAAAAGGTTTTGCTCTTTTCTGGTAACTTCAAAACGTTTTGATCTTTGTATGTGGATGTTCAAAAACGTTTGGTAAGAGCAGAAATTTTCAAAGGCACGTTCTATGTAAAATAGTGAGTGCTAACGAAGTCGGCTTGAGTTTCCTACCGCGTCGATCGATAGTAGGGCGAGTAGGGGTGCTGTCGTTTGAGGTTGTCGGTTCTGCTGGAGCGAACTGACTCGTCTGAGGTTGCGGTGTGAGCTGTGATGGCACAGGCTGTGAAGGTGCTTGTTGCAACGAAGAGCCAGACTTGTCGAGGAACGCTGGTTTGCTTCGATCTACGTTGATCGTCTCAGTCTTACCATTGTAATCAATGGTAAACGTCTTGTCGCTTCTGCGTACGACACGGTACGAACCAGAATAAGGAGGTTGACGTGGCCGGCGTACACTGTCAATGCGAACGAACACGTGCGTGCAAGTATTTAAGCGTTCGTCCACGTTGGTACGCAATATCTGTGCTTTGGGTTGCACAGGCTGAACCTGTCGCATGTGATGAGATAGGCGAGCTGCGTAGTCGCCATAGTCAAAGGTTGTCGGCGCTTTTGGTGAGATGAGCTAACCAGGTAAGCGTTGTGTGCATCCAAAGACTAGCGACGATGAATTGGCTTGCAAATCCACTTTAACAGGGTTTCATATGCCTAAGAGAACGAGCGGAAATGATTCGTGCCAGGATGTGCTAGATTGGGCACAGAGTGGTGCTTTGAGTTGCCGGTGGAACCTTACTACCAACCCATTAGATGCGAAATGGTATGCGGTGGTTCAGTTATGTTGGCAACCAAGAACGTTGAGCAATTTGCTGAAGGGTCCGTCAAAGTGCGATCCTCTGTCCGTGATGACTACGCTTGGGCAACCGAATTGAGCTACCCAGCGTTCTAGGAAAGCTTGCGCGACTGTCTCAGATGAGCAGTTGACTATCGGAATCGCCTCTGGCCAACGGGTGAATCGGTCGACACAAGTGAGGAGGTACACGTATCCTTGGCATGGAGGCAAAGGTCCGACCAGGTCGACATGGATGTGTGCAAAACGAGAGTCAGGAGCGGGAAAGATGCCAAATGGGCTTTTGGTGTGGCTGTATACCTTGGTGCGCCGGCACTCTAAGCATGCGCGTGTCCAGAGGCGGACATCGCAGTTGACGTTGGGCCATACGAAGCGTTCCGTTACGAGCTTCTGCGAAGCACGTATGCCGGGATGAGACAGGTTGTGTAAAGCGTTGAAAACTAGTCGACGCATTGAAGTAGGAACTACGGGTTGGGGAGAAATTTTGAGACGCCACAAAGAATGGTCCCCTCAGATGAAGCTAGTGGAACTTCGTGTAGTTTCAACGAGGTGTTGCGTCGTAGCTTGTCTATGTCGGGATCAGATTGTTAGGCAGCAGCCAAAGCGGCTAGATCAATGTTGGTGCCAGGCGATAAGTTGATCTGCTGAATGCGTGAAAGCGCATCCGCGACGGGATTGAGAGCACCTGAGACATGTCGTACGTCTGTCGTAAACTGAGAAACGTAGTCCAGGTGTCTAGTTTCCAGCGGCGAAAACTTGTCCGTTGCGCCATTGATTGCGTAGATCAATGGCTTGTGGTCAGTGAAGACTGTAAAATGTCGACCTTTGAGGTAGTGACGGAAATGTCTGATACCTAGGTAAATAGCTAACAGTTCCCTACCAAAGATGCTGTAACGCGATTCGGCAGGTTGTAAAAGTTTCAAGAAGAAACCTAAAGGTATCAATCGATGGTCGATTAGTTGTTGAAGCACTGCACCGCCGGCGGTTTTTTTGATGTCTCACCTTTTAGGGAAGTGGTGTAGATGTGCCTAGATGGGCGAGATGCGCTACGTTATAAATAGCGTCTTTGAGCTTCTCAAAAGACCGTCTAGCGTCGTCTGTAAAATGATAGGACCGTTGTTTACCGCGGAGCATATCAGTCATTGGTTGATCAATGCGTGCGGAGTTAGGAATAAAGCATCTATAATCGATGATCGGGCCAAGGAATTGGCGCAACTGTTTGAAGGAACTGGGAGCAGGACAGTCCTTCAGTGCCTGGACTTTGTCTGGCACAGCTTCGATACTAGAGGCGAATGTGCGGTGGCCAAGAAAGTCGATGGAACTTTGGTCAAGCTCGCATTTAGCGGGGTTGACGGTAACCCCATGCTGTGTTAAGCGTTGGAAGAGAGCGTCGAGGTGATGAAGGTGTCAGTCGTCCGAAGATCTGGCGATGATAATGTCATCTAGATAAATAAATAAATAAATAGTTTATGCTCGAAGTTGTCGAGGCACACCAAGCAAGGCATGATCAATATTTACATGCAATATTGCTTCGCAACAAACACGTGGCTATGAGTGTAGTCAGCAGTAAGCCGAAGGTTGTACAGTCTGCGGAAGTTGTGTATGTAGTCACGGGATGGAGACTTCAATAATGACAAAACGTTTAATTCTAGCGTGCGTAGTGGAAACAGTCAGTGCACTACATGTGTATTGAAAACGATACAAATACACATAGTGTAACTTATTATTGAAAGTGACAGGTCAATATTGAGTAATGATTCTGGTCGACTTGCCAGTAGTTAGTTCAGGACAGTGACTTTATTCGGTGGCGAGTCACATCCGCCACGTCGCAGTGTTGTTACGCGGACATTTGTGGCTTTTTATAGGGAGAAGGTTTGCCAGGCGAAAACCCACCACGTCCTGTAACACTGTCGGAAATTTGTCGGTGCACTAATATAAAACTGGCAGACCAGGTAGTCGACCGATTTCACACTCAGATATCCGCAGTCAAATGACCTTCAATTTCCTCTGTTATTTGTTCAGGTATCTTGGGCAAGGTTGCCATAATGGCCGCGGCGAATCGAGGATGTGGGCTTCACGAAGAATCGTCTTTGTGGATATCCAGGTGGGCGAAACGTCAGTTTCTTGCGTCTGGATTTTTCAGGAGTATGTATTCTTTTTAGGTGTGTGAAGTTCTCGAGTCCAGCTATCATCACTGAACAACGGTCCTGGTAGTGAGTGCAGTTGTATCCGTTTCTTGCACAGCCATGTGCTTCATAGGTCCTTATTGGTTGTTCTGTCCCAGACAAAAGCGGTTTCTCGGTACTACCCCAAATCCCCAAGAAGTTCCGGACCTAGGAGAAAAGGGAAAGTGAGAGACAACCAAGGCCGCAAAGAACAGGCGTGGATACCAACATTATTAAACTCCTATGTTATAACATATAGAGCGGAGACAAATGATGTACAATGTGCAGCAATGATTGTGCTGAAAGTGTCTTTTGAATGTTTTTCGAATGCAGTGGCTTTATAAGTTGGTTGCTACTATCTAAAGGAATACAGAGCTTTGCGCCATTAAGCAAAAACGCTGTATCAGTTTACTATGATGCGACTATTGCGTGGAAAGCAGAGTTCAGGGACCAGCGGCGTTAGAATGGTGTGTGGACGGCTAGTGGCCAGCCTACATCGAAAGAGGTGGTAAGTCAGCGGATAGATAGGACTCAAGCGCTGAGTAAAAATTAGCGGGTGCTCAAAACGAAAAGACGACACAAGGGTACTAGTAGCGTAGTGCTACGGCCTATTGAAATAGAAAAAGCCTATGACAGCTAACGTTCTACAAAGGCAAGTGTCGAAACCTTTGCTGTAAAAACGGATCCAGATTAATAGGGGAGAAGGGCTTGATCGATAGAAATGAAGTATTAAAGATAAGTTAAAGGAAAACGCACGTGTGGAACAAATATATATGTCGCGCCGCGCAGAGAAACAAGTCGTATTTGGGTGCTAAGAGAATGGTGAGAAATGAACATCTAGAAATGTGAAGCTAACGGGCGTCTGTGTGCGGACCAAGTGAGAGGATGGAAGAACTAAGGATAAGAAACATCGCAGCATATGAGTCAGATTCGCGAGGATACTGAGTTCTGTTATGGTGCTAAGATTTTAGTACTAAGGTAGACTGGGCTGGAAAATACCAGTGAAAGGTCTGGAATCCTATATGTGCTGGCGTCACAGACGTTGCAGCAAGCAATGGATAAATGTACGTTTTTAGGAGGGAGAGGCAATGGAGCAACTGTGCGCAGGCCACATGAATTATGTTTGCTTCATTGAAGAGAATTAAGAAAGGTTTTATGAAGAGAGGACAGCAAACGGATGAAGCGCAAGCATACGATATGGTTGTTAAGTAGTTCGGGGCATAAAGGCGAAGACGCGGCGACGCACAGATGATGAAATCATGCCCTGGTGCTAATGTAATAAGAGTAGGGAAGACTGAGCAGGAAGAAGCCGGTGAGAGGGCTGTACTACAAGTAATTAGCTGTCACGGACGAGTGACAGCTGTGCATCTAGCAAGGAGCAGCTGTGCACTGACCGGATGAGGTAAAGAAGGTCGCCAGACGAGAGCTAAGGTCGAATAAAGAAAGGACAACAGACAAGAAGAATGCAAGCCTACAGTGAGTTGTTTGAGGGAGTCATATCGTATAATGCTGAACCACGGCGGAGTATAAGTTCGAGTCCTCGCGTTACCTATTGAATGAAACGCTGAAAAGTTTGGGCAGCGTTGCTGAGGCCGAAAGGCATTCTGAGGTACTCAAATAGGCCGAATGGCGTGATTACTGCTGTTTTAGCAATGTCGTCTGGCGCGACGGGTACCTGATGATAGGCGCGAACTTAGTCGACTTCGCTAAAGATAGACTTGCCAGCTAGAGCTGAGGTCAAGCCGTGCATGTGCGGAATGGGTATTTATCCGGGACGATAACTTTGTTTAGTGTCCTGTAGTCACCACAGGGGCGCCAGTCACCGGATTTCTTCGGTGCCATGTGTAATGGTGATGCCCATGGACTTTTGGACAGGCGGATAATTCCCGGTTCGAACATTTGCTCGACTTCCGCCTTAGCAGCTATGGGCTTGTCCGGAGCTAGTCTGCGAGGGCGGGCCGAAACAGGTGGGCCCTTAGTGCAAATGCGATGCATGAAGTTTGGCGTCACATTAGGCAAGTCGTTCCGGACGCGAACGAGTTTAAGATGCTTGTTGTAAAGTTATAGAAAAGGTTATGAGGCTTGAGGTAGGACACGAATGGGAGTGATAGCAGCCGCGTTGGCGCTAGTCACGATAACACTGATTTGTGTCCTGGAGTAGATATGCTTCTTCCTTTTAATGTCGACGATGAGGCCGAAGCGTTGAAGGAGGTCTATGCCTATGGTGGCGAAAGGCACGGCAGCGATTATGAAAGGTCAGCGAAAGGTTCGCAGGAGGCCTAAATTGAGTGTTAGCAGCTTTTCGCCGAAGGTTACGATTCTTCGCGTAGTCAGAAATGATTCTGTGGTTGCAAAACTCAGCGACAAGATGAGCGAAAAACAGAAGAGGATCCATGTCCCAAGAAGGTGGCACAGCGAGAGATACAACACTAAGTGAAGACCCTACATTTTGGTCTACAGGTTCCAGGGCTTAAAAAATGAAGCAAAACATAGGCTACCGTGTGCAAAAATTAAGCAGAAAATATGAAAAATAAATGGAAAGAGCTC